AAGTACTGCAAAGGCAACTGAGACAGCTCCCTGTACAACAGCTTGTAAGGTACCTGCTTGAGCCCAGCACAACGTAAACAGAAGTCACGCTGGACCTGGACCATACCATCTTCCAAAGCCAAATCAAAATATGACTTACCAGCGGGTAAAACACCTTTACCTAGCCGCAGGACGGAGACAATCCTATCAGGACCCCAGACCTCAGCACCATAACAGAGAACCGAACGGACCTGGGTGTCGAACGCTTGAAGCCGAACGGCAGGAGCCCACACCCTGTTCTCATCCAACCGATTACTAAGACCGAACATAGCCCGTCGCCCTGCTTCCAAAAGTTCGTTGACACAACTCGCAAACGGGGACGCAGGGCCCCAATAGAGACCCAAGTACCTAACGCGACCACACCAGTTAATAGGACTAGGAACAAGTAAACTACCAACCATGGGTGGGTGCCAAAGCGACCCATCAGTACGGAGAGGAAGCATGAGCCTCACCCCCTCAAACGCCCTCTTAACGACATCAACGGAAGCAGCCACAACAAGGGCCTCACATTTCCGAACGTTGCAGCGCATACCAAAAGCAGCACAGAACTCAATAAGCAGCTTAAGCGAGAACTGGAGGCGTGCCAACGAGGTCGCGAACAAAGTAAGGTCGTCTGCATAGAACAACAGAGGTAACCGACGATCATTAATGACAGGACATTCGTGTGCACGTGTGTTGAACCATTCGTCCATGTATGTATGTATGTCGGTGGGAAGGACGAACACCGCCATAAGAGTCTGTGCATGTGTACGACTGTGTGCTCCTGGTGGGCCATGGGCGGGTGCTCGCACGTGTGTATTTGTCGCTGTACGGATAGAGCCAGCCGGCTTATGCTTTTGTCACGCCGCTGGCTTTACCGACGATTTGGAACCGACGGGAATGCCGTACGTGTGTCGGCATCGTCGTGTGCACCCACCTGCGACTGGCCCTGTATTCCCACTTGTGCTTCCGCGGGGCCGTGAGCTCACCCGGCGGAGACCTCGGTGAGTCCGTACGGCGCGATGCAGTGCAGCGGAGCCCCCTGCCTGCCACCTTACTCGGGGCTGTGTATCGCACCGGGGCTGACGTAGCACCTCCCCTCCCCTGCAGGGACGTCACCCAGGCGGTCCACACCGCAATCGCCGCGTTGGCGTCGCAGCTGCCCCCCCTCCCGCCGCTGCAACCCGGGGAGGCGGTGCAGCTGATGGCATGGGCCGGGGCGACCCACGGCGCCGGCGGCAGCGGCGGCGGCAGCGGCGGCGGCAGCGGCGCTGCCGCGGCCGGAGGCGGCGGCGTCGACGATTGGGATTCTTCCGGGTCGGCTGGGCGGCCGCCATTGGCGGGGGGAGATGGCGGCGGCTCCGCTGCCGCGGAGGCGCGAGCCGCCGTGACGCTCTGGTCCCTGGCGGCGTGCTGTTTGCGGTGCCTGCGGCCTGAGTTCCTGACGGCGCAGGTGTTGACGGAGGCGTCGGTTCCGCTGGCGGGGGCCGTGGCGCTGCCGTCGCCGCGAGCGCTGGCGTCGCTTCAGCTTCGTTGCGTGCTGGTGGCGTCGGGCCACGTCAGCTACAGGGAGTTGATGCCAGTGCGTACGGCAGCGGCGGCGGCGGCTATGTCAGCGGCGGGTCATGCGTACGGCGATCCGCTGCTTGCTCCGCTGAGCCTGGCTCTGGCAGGCACGCCGCAAGCTTTCCAGGTGCTGGCGTTTCGTTTGGCTTCGTTTGGCGGGGGAGAGATGAGGTGCTGGCGCCATGCAACTAGGGCAACATGCCGTACAAATTGTACGGCTCATGCGTACACATGCGCACGTGCAATTGCACGTGGACATCCAATTTAGAGACCGTGGTGACCGCAGGCTTACGAGCGGGGGGCCTGTACGGATCTGTACCATTGCCTGTAGCGTGTACGGCGCAGGAAGCTCACGGCAAGAGCTTGGCCCCACGCCAGGAGGATTCAATGACACCGCCATCCGCATAAGGCCCTCATCTGCGTAACTTCCTCAGTTACTAACCCCCTCTTCCCCAATGGGCCCCTAATGGCAGTTGGACTTGGTGCAATGTTTTCCCGCATGAACGTATTTTTCGTGTCGTAATGGCCGTACAGGTGCAGGTGCTGCTGCAGACTCTGGACGCGGCCCACTCGGCAGCTCAGCCTGGGCCTCCCCTGGAGCTTGCGGCCGCCCTCGTGGCCGTGTGCCTGAGCTACGCCGCCGGCACCGGCGCCGCCACCGCGCCGGAGCTGTGCGTGGCGCTGTCGTCGCGCCGTGCCGCCTTGGATTGTCTGCCGTACACGCTGCCGCGGCTGCTTTCCCGGGCACCTTGGAGCTCGTCCTGCGAGGCGGTTGCCCAGGCGCTGCTGGCGGTGGCGCGGGAGGGGCTTCGGCGGGAGGGGGTTGGGGCTGCTGAGGGGGAAGGTACGAGAGCTACCGTACCGGGACCTTGGTTATGTGCGATTGTGGGCGGGGAGAAAGGGTTGGACCTCGCTGGTCAGGATGCTGCGACGAGGGACGCTCTGGGTGTTGTGCTTGCTTGCTTGTGGGCGCTGCGGGATGTGTTGCCCGCGTACACGTATGATCAGTTGCACGCGGCGCTGAGCTGGCGGACGTTAGCGAGGGTAGTGCATGTCCTGAAGTGAAGGCAGTTGGGGGGTTGTTAGTGGGTAGGAGGAGCTAAGTGTGTAGCGCTTGCCGTTCGTCGAGCACGAACTGCCGGAAGGTGTTGTACGGGGGGATCTGTCAAGCATAAAATTCTCTATTTCATATGCTGCGATAATATAGTATTTTACTTACATGTTGAGGTACGCTCAGTAGTTTCAAAACGTTAAGCTGTTTGCATCCTAGCGTGACAACCCGCTTACGACGTCCACGCGCAAACTGGGAAAAAAGGGCCCAAACTTAAGTAATTATCACATGACACAATATTTGTGCATGGTTATCCTGGTTGTATTGTAAGGTTAGCCTTTCGCACCAACGGCTTTCCGGTATTACCATAGAAGACGGCAGCAGTTGTATGTGTTCTAGGGACTTGGAACCATGAGCTTTCAGGTATACAATCTTAGTAAGCTGGCCAGCGATGAGCCTAGCGAGCCAGTTGGCACGCGTAGACATCATTTTCCCGGCCACTTTGCAGGACCTTGCCAAGAATGGAGGTCGTGAACTTGCTAGCTACGAAAATCAGGTTGGGGCATGTTGGCTACCGTCTCTCGGTGTTGCGCGCAATCGCGCGACTCTAACCGACGCTCCTCGGTGCAGGCCACGCGTGAGGTGGAGGGGTTAGTCTTTAAGCTTGCAAACAATGTATCGCAACTTCGAAAATTGGTCGACAAATTGGGGACTGCAAAGGACACGCTGGACCACCGACACGCCATTGCGGATGTGAACATCACGATTCAGGAGGTGAGCCAAGCCAACGGCTTGGGCGCTACACCTATCCTTCCCTTTTTCGCAAAACACACTTTGCCGCTGTCCACCTCCTTGCATCTCCTCACTCCTGCCAATGGCCATCACCACACATCTTTATGTTCCTCCTCGCAGTTGGCCAAGAGCATCAAGGAAAAGCTCACGGTGCTGCACGACGGCGTCCCCGCGACGTCGTCAGGCCGACCCGCCGGGTCGGTTGCCTTGGGCCCCGCCGCACCTTCGGCCGAGCAGCAGCTCAAAACTAAGCGATTGCTGCAGGACTTTGCCAACATCCTGAAGGCAAGTTGGCTCGCTGACGCCCTTGAACTCCAGAGCTCCTAGATCACGGCTACTGGACCCGGGTGCCCGGGGGGATAAGTCAGCACCGGTATCACACACACACACACACACACACATAGGGACTACAACGAACGGGAGTTGAGGGACGCGGCACAAGGGCAGAGCCAGTGGTGGTGGTGGTGGTGGTGTCCCCCAGCCTGCCTGCCTGCCTGCCTGCCTGTCATCACCGTATTGCACCATGTTGTTATCCTGCGCCGTGAGCCGTATGTTCCCAGAGGCCGTCTGAAACCTGGAGGGGGGGAAAGAGGGACCAGTAACAGAGCACGAGCTCTGCGCTGAGCAGGAGGGGCCCGAGGCGGGCTAGCACGTGGGCACATGTTGGTCGGACGGAGGCGTTACTTCCCTCCGTGGCTCTCTCCAGCTCCCTCCGTCACCTCACATCACCTCAGCCCCCCCGCACCACCCCCCCCCCGCACCCGGGGGACCCACAGGACTATAAAGCCGTTCAGCGGGCGGCGGCTGAGCGGGAGGCGGCCTCTCTGCCCCGCCAGCAGCCCACCGCCTCCAGGAGGGGCCCCGCGGCAGGTGGGGGGCTCTCCAGGGGGGAGGGGAACCCCGGCGAGTGCGTGGGTGGGTGGGTGGGTGGGGGTATAGCGTCCCCGCGCACATCCGGAGTCGGGCTTGAGGTTTCCAGGTGATGTAGTGTTGGGGGACGGTGTAGTAGCTGGCCGCTGAAAAGGCCTCTCGTGATGCTGGTGGTCGCGCTTAGCGCGTATTTGCAGTTGTTCACGGTGCCGTACACTGTACCGGCTACTACACCAGGTACCTTTCCGTTGCAAGGTGGTTGGCTGAGAGAGTGGTTGGCAGTGCGGCCGCCCATGGGGCCGGGGGGCTACCTAGTGGTGGCTGAGGGCGGGGGG